CGCTAGCTCGTAGACACATATTTTTAAAACACTGACGAATACCAAGTAAACTCCTGCTGTCTTGACATCAATACAATCCAATTCGTAAGAGGACGACTCTTTATAAGTGTTGCAGTTGATACATTTCGGAAAAACGTTCCCTGCATTTAGAAAAACGACTGGCGAAGTACGAATGGGGGTGTGAGAAGTGGCAGGTCAGGCACCTGCCCCGTTTAAATTTGTGGAAAAAGGGAAATTAAAATTTAAAGAAAGGAAATATATCAAATACTAATTATACCAGAAATTAAACAAATTTTCCTAAAAACGTGTTCCTCTATCCCTAATGGAGCCGGGAGAGATCAGTCGGTACGGCGAAGGGCTTGGAAATGGACGGCTAGGTTCGATTCCCAACAGGGGAACGAGATTGTTCTATTTTCCATGGCGTCCAATCTGGCTGTGAAGCCCACCCAGCCTCCCATGCAGTGAGTACCGGGAGCTCTTTCCCCGGAGGTAAAGAGGCAGTGACGTGACGCTCACCACTCACCTCCATTTTGTGTGGAGTTCAAGAATGGCGGAACTACTCCCCCATACGTCTTCATGTCGTGGTGATTAACTGATTAAGCACCGGGACATTTGCCTATCCTGAATGATCTCGGAAGATCAGTAAAATAGGGTTAAACGGCTCAAACTCAAGCAAATTTCCTGGGAGCCTCCATTTACGGAAAATACCGTGGCAGTGCGCATGTCAATATGTCCAGTTTACAGCCTTATAATACATACTGAACATGCAGAAATGTTCTGCAAAGTGTTTTCCATTCAGAAGACAGAATAAATACACGGAATATAAACACGAGAGATGCGGTATTCCGAAAGGTGCACGGGTCGCCAACTACTGCAATGCTGGCAAGAAACTGGTAATTCTGCGCAGTTGGCCAACATCTGCACCAACGATCCTCGGGTATTCGGGTTCATGTTACAATAGTACATTGCCAGTTAAATGTAAGTGACGGGGAACAACTGTTTCCCTTCGCTTAGGAATAAGCTAGGTTGATAAATTACTTCAAAGTGGTGACTAAGTAGACTGCCGTTTCAAGAACCACATCTGAAATTCGCCAAAGCCAAACCATAACTTTAGAGAAATATATTTCCCATATTGTTTTTGTGTCTATGGAATATGCAAGCAATCTCAAAATCCTCTTTCGGTTTACGTTTCCTTTTACGTATGTGAACGGTTTAACTAAAGAATGGTTATGGGAAAATATCAAATTCACATTTACTTTAATTTACATGCTTCCAGCCCAGAAATCTTATTCCTTGGATTTCCTAAGTTCAAGACAAAATACTCGGACAGGCCATGATAGCTAACCCCCAGATTCTTTCCAATCCATACTTAGAAATAATCTTACAGTTTAAACACCATATAACCTGTATATCTTAAACAGAGCCTTTAAATAATCCAAGAAACAACTGATAATTTCAATGGCGAAATATCCATGCATTGGCACTGAAGGATACATCCATTATGGAACTCGCCAATTGTATAAAAGTTTAAGGAAGTTATGTTTACTTCATCTGTTTTACTGTGGCAGTATTCAGCTTTGTTTCATAAACAAAATGAACTTGGAAAGGTTACTGTAACCACATTCCACAAATCACACGCTTCTAGAGTGATGTATCACAACTTGTGGGCTGTAATTAGGTGTGGGGTCGAATCTAGAAAATCATGGCCTTTTAAAAAGCTAACATAATACATTTCACCCAGATTGACCTCATGAATCAACTCTTAAAATTATCTCACACGGCCTGGGGACATTGCATAAGGTTCTCACAGCAATGAATGTTCAGATCACTGTCTTCTGATATGATGGCATGTAGTGAGATAAGAGTCATATAAATGTAAATAAGCTATATAAGGTATAGAATGTACCCTCTACACAACAACAATCAGTACTCAAAACAAGATACTATTGCATCAACATTTGCTTTTAATAGGTTTATTAAAGATGCAACATGTTTCAGCCCTGTTCATGGGTCATCTTCAGGCATACAATGTACCAGTCTGAGCTGTTGAGTTGCAATCAATTGTCATTTTATTAAACGAATAAGTATCCTTGAATAAAATGAAAATTGATTGCAACTCAACAGCACAGACTGGCACATTGTACGCCTGAAGATGACCCGTGAAGAGGGCTGAAACATGTTGCATCTTTAATAGACCTAATAAAAGCAAATGTTAATGCAGTAATATACTTCATTTTGAATACTGATTGTTGTTGTGTAGATGGTACATTTTATACCTTATATATTTTATTTACGACACACAACGGGATGCACAATATTAAGAATATCAACGTTTCTTAGGGAACTTGATTACTCCAACTTCAGGGCAGAAGAATATCCTAAAAGGGAGGCAGCAGGAATTACCTGGATTGCTGGTACCTACCACAAGGAGCCATGTCCCAGAGGATCACTGCCCGGGCAGTGAATAACCTGAGGCTTTCATATTTATACTCAGTCCCTCTAGGCAAACTCAAAAGCAGTACCTTCAGCTGGTATAATGACCAGGCTACGGGCTATGGTCTTTTCTCCTCACAAATATTCACACTGAGTCTGGGACCTGCCCAACCTACTTTCCAGTGTGTACTAGAGATGGGAGGATCTCTCCCCTGGGGCGAAGTGGCCAGTGCGTGAAGCTGACAACTCACCTCCATCTAAGGTTGAGGTTAAGTATGCATGGAAATATACTTTCAATCCCTCATACATCCTCATGGTGTAGTGCTTAATTAAGGACAGGAACTTTACCTATTTTTACAATAGTATCTCAAAATATGACAGATTACTACCCGGTTCTTTCCATTTTACAGATCATAATCATCATTTCATCTCATTAGACACTAAACAGCACATGCAGCTAGTCAGCAGTTGTTGAATAACAAGCAAATCAACGTCTTTTTGGCCCTAATGTTAGCATGGCTGCCAACTTCTAACCTACAGCAGTACTTCCCAAACTTGAATTTTCTACAGACCCTTCTCCAAAATAGTATAATACGTGAATTCTCATCTCCACTAAAATTTCCTCCCTGTGCATCCCTTTTTCTTCCTCGTGATGCCCACATAACCTGGACCATTCCTACTTTAAACCATTATATGGCATTTAATAATCGACATCTTTTCTGAACAGAAATGAAGTTACCTCATTAATCTCAACTATGATTTTGGAACAGATTAAGAAGAAATTACTATAGAGAATTCCTGGTACTCATTTCTGTTAGAGGCTGAGTCGACCCCAGGGCCATAGTGGCTGGAAGGATTAGGTCAATTGAAAAAATCCAATGACCTCATCGGGACTTGAACCTGTGACCTTCCAGCTTGTAGCATAGCCCCTCAACCAACTACGCTATTTTCCTGGGGAGTAAAGAGCGGCTGGCACGTAAGGCTGACAACCTTACCGCCATCTTTGAGCCGATTGTCTAGATAATGTGGGACCCCCAACGTCTCACAACCCTATGGGCCTTCAAGGTCTGGTACAAGGATAGCTTTACTTTACTTTACTTTTACTAGTATAGAGAATATGGGCATATCATAACAAAGTGAAAAAGAGAATATATGAACCTAGGAGAAAGTAACATGAGGATGCATAAAGTACATAATGAGGAACTTCGTAATCCAGGCTCTTCGTCAGATGTTATTACTGTTATCAAATCACGAAAGATGACTTTGTGATAGCAAGTAGAACATATTGTGAGAGATGAGTAATGCATACAAGAATTTAGTCAAAAAAGTTTAAGAAAAGAGACCACTTGGAAGACCTTGTCATAGATGAGAGGTTATTATTAAAGTTAATCTTAGAGAAATAAGAATGTGAGGATGTGGACTGGATTTGTCACTCAGGGCAAAGTCTGGTGGCGGTTTTTGTAAACATGGCACCTAACCTTAGATTCCATAAAAGGCAGGAAATTCCTTGACTAGCTAAACGAATGCTAGCTCTTCAAGAAAGACTTTGCTGCACAAATGGCAGTAATCTTTCCACATTTTCCCGCACCTTTGATGAGAGACAATGAAAAATATTATCATATGTAGGCTTATACCTTCTACAAATTGGGCAACAAAACTCCAGATGAGCAGGCATGTAGAATGTATGGAAGAGAGAGAAAATGATGCAAAAATTTTGTCAGAAAACCTGAAAGGAAGAGAGAACTTGGGGACCTTAACGTTTATTAGAGGATAATATTAATATGGATCTTACAGGAATTGAATGTGAGAGCTTGGACTAGACTTATCTGCTCAGGATAGGGTGCTGGGCTCATGTAAACATGGTAAATAGCCTTTGAATTTCATAAAAAGCGAAAAATGTATCGACTAGCTAAGCAACTACCGGCGTTCAGGGAAGACACTATCCCACCAAAAGCAGTGAACATTCCCCATTTGCCCATACCCTGAATGAAAGCAGCCAAACACGTCTGCATGTATAACCTATGCATTTCTCTGGAAACTAGGAGGCGAAACGCCAGATTTGTGTTTATGGTGAAGCTAATAATAATCCTCAGCTGCAAGCCCAACCTTGGATCTGCACTGTAATCCCCTGCACAAACCCCATGCTAACATATCTCTGTGGTTACTTAAGCTAGAGGAATTACTTATATCAGGTAAAGTTGTCTTAGTCCTTAAACATCACATCCCATTACGAAGTTTGGGGAAGCGGAGGTAAAGCACCATGCATTAATCTTGGTAGTGGGTGACAATGAAGTGTTAGTTCCACTCTCTGCCCACTTTACCTGCAAGGAAAGAACTCCCATGCCCATTGGATAGGAGACCAGGGGTGCTGAGAGTTATTCTGGATGCAGTGGTGAGAAAAATCACTGCCCCTACCAGGAATGGAACCTTGACTGTCCAGCCTCTAGTCAATCACTTTACTGACTGAACTGTCAATTAATTAGCTGTAACAATTTATCTTTGTAACAAAACAGAAAATGAATTAATATCTAAATGACAAATACTGTATATTAACTTCACGTTCACAGGCCTCCAGTTTTCGTCCATCAAATGCCGGCCATTAATCCAGGAACAGGAGCGTCTAGTGGCTCCCAACAGCAAAGGACAACATTTAGGCCCCCATGGGTCAAGGAAGGTCCTGAGCCCCTCCCTCTACCCACAGCACCATGGACTCTAGCTCGAACAAGACAAAGAGGTAAGAATCAACACAGTAAGAAACAATGATCAGAAAAGTGGCTCTAAAGAGATTGGGCCATAAGAGACATTCCTTCTGGAAATCAACATGAAAGCTATGTTCTATATCACCTTCCTAAATTAAATTATTTACTTTTGAAATATTCTGGTTTTAGCCAATCCAGTTCTTCAGAAGGAAAATTATACTGCACTTCTTCAATACAGTATGATCTGAAGATGTTTAATTTCTCATTTTACTGTGTAACACTCAGTGGAACTTGAAGAGCTTTGGAGTTGCAGGAAGGAAACCCAGAAATATACCGATTTTAAGGTACGAGAAATCAGTGTGGAAGAATTAATTATGTTACATGGACTGAAAAGAACTGGGGTAATTTCTAAACACTGTAGTAAATGATAAGCATGACCTTCTCGGTTATAAAGCCACATGGTTTGGAGATGGGCTAGCTCTAGTGATTGGGCCCAAGTGAGTAGGCTTTTTACCTGAGGAAGGAGACACAACCCAGTTTCTGCAACGTTGTTTTAAATAAACAATAGGCTGATCTACAATGTCCAAAAATACATTAACTCTATTAATTTACCAGCATCACAAACTATTATATCTTATCAGTTAGTGCTTCAAAGTAGGGCCCCAAAATGTCATTCATATATTTCAATGAATTAACTGTGGCATAGAACAAGAGCATATGATTCCTCTGGCCTCTGCAGAATATCCACACTAACTTTCTGGTTATAAAATGGGATCTGGTGAATAACACAAGGACTTTCATTATGCCAGTGTATATTCTATGATCTTCAAGCTCATAAATCCAAACAATGAAATAAAGCAACATCTATCATAAAAGAAGAAGTATGGGTCAACTATACTATCGTGAATAATGTTGAAAACTTATATACCAGAAGGTAATTCTTAAATTTACCAACAGATTTAAAATAAGATCTCTTTCCTCTAATGAAATTTTCAATATAATATAAACACTGTCTGGTAGTATATTTCACCTCTGTAGGTTACATATACACAGAGATAGTTAGAGATAACCAGCTTAGCAGCAGAACAACTGGCTATGATTAAAACATACCAACAGTGCTGTTCACTTGTTTACTAATCATAAAGTCATTCTCACCATACACTGGACATCAACTTAATTAGTTTATGAAAGGGCATGTTTCAGCTATCACAGAGTCATCTTCGGGGATCAGGTACTGTATTCTATCACACAAGTAGGCACACTGACATGTGCACTGTCAATTTTCTTTTTTGTACATGGAGATATTACTAATGTTATATTTTAGCGTCCTGTTGCACTGATTTAAGTCCATGATTTATTTAATCCGTCTTGCAGTGCATACACTCATTTATTTCCTTCTCTCCCTCGCACTACATGTTTCGGCATAATAATGCCATCTTCAGGTGCTTACTTATCCACGTCAAACCAGTTCATTGCATGCCATGTTCACACATTAAAATAACTAAAATATGTATCTATCATATACATTGTCAAACGTTAAAAATATTAAAATTGTTCAGGATACCATATCGCTACGTCGCCCCTCACTACGTCAGTCACGCCCATTCTCCTTTGTTGGAGCACTCCTTCACTATCTTGTGTGTTGTGCTTTTGTTGTGTCGTGCTCCTGCGTTTAGTTTAAAATTATTAGTTTAAAATTAAATTTAAATTATAGATGTGATTAAAACTGATATTATAAAATTCTCTTCAGTTCTTCAAGCATCCCAGGGCTTTAAATGAAATAGCTCCTGAGCACTTCTTCCACATTCCTTCCCATAAATCACTTTCAGTCACCATCCCATTCAGTGCTATGCAGCTGAGGAAGCTCATTAAATGAATACAAATGGCTGATTGAATTTTAGCTCATTTTAATTGCCCTGTTTCAACTAGAGAGTTAATATGTATAATGCGATGGAAAGATGATCATGGCTAATGAATAATCAGGGACTTTAAAAGTCATGGCCTCACTTGGTGGGAGTAAGGAAAACAAAGAAAAATATGGTCAAGATAAGTGGTATTCTAGTTAGCATTCAAACTCAGTGTCTTGGAAATACAAGTCTTACTGCTACAGAACCCGATCAGTACAGATAAATAAACTTGTCTTCCACTATTTACATGGCATCAATACTTAGTACTGTTTGTGAATAAAGTCCCTCATATATTTCCCAATGTCAAAGCATATACAATGGAATACACATATAATGTTCTTCAAATGAAAGTTCTCCCTCATTAATGACCCATTTTCTATGGCCTCCACTCTATTATCTTATAGATAAATTTCTTCCTTTTGGCATTTCCTCAACAATGTCCCTGAAACAGCTGCAAAGGGCAAAAGAATTGCCAAAGTCTGAATGTTCAGTCTTACCTTTACAGCACCTGAAGCACAGGAGGCAGGTCCCGTGAAGCCAGATCTGAAACCTGTGTCACGTAAGAACTCCACATCCACAAGCAACAATGTATCAGCAGATAACCACAGCAGCAACAGCAGCAGACATTCAGGGGCTGCCAACAATGAGCCCACACCTGTCAGGAAGACCAGCAAGATCACAATAATACCCTCAAGGTTAGTATCTCTCTTTCCTACTAAGATATAAATCACTGAACACTGAAGTGAATTTGGCAACATGTTCAGTACAATCACTACTCTTCTGGAGCTGGCTAATTATTGTTATGATATCTGAAATGAGGCTTCTTCAACTGGTGAAACATCTCAGCATGTCAATTAGGAAGGTATAAAGTGTGGCTCAAGAACCGATTAACTTGCTAAATTTAACACACAGAACAGATAAGCTTTAGTACCAAGAATGTTTGCACTAGCCAAAACCAAATAACCTAACTCAGTGTTTCTCAACCAAATATTCCATTATAAGTCATCTGGTTACTCCTGCTCTCTAGCAGCCATTCATATTTTCCTCAGCTGCAGGAAAATTTATATTTCTAGAACAGCTGCTAGGGAAATGAAAAACGGAGAGTTGTGATACATTCTCCTGCATTCAAAGAGGTACCAGGGTAGACTATTATCATTTGTTCTCTACCAAATTTTCAGACCCTCAGCAGATGGAGCAAATGTCAAAGAAAACGGTCACGATGCCTCCAGTACAGCTACTACCAACTCAAAAACAAATAATACCAGGCCACAAGAAGCTGCAAATAAAACAAGGTCATTAAAATCTCCAACGTCACAAGCTAAAGAAATTCCTATTGAAATCAAAAGTACAACTAAACCTAAACAGGAAGAACAGAAAGTAAAAACCAGTAACAAACAGCTGGAACAAAAACAAAAAAGTAGTAGCAAACAGCAAGAGGAACCAAAACAAGACACCGAAGTGGAATCTAAACCACCACAACCACCTGCACCGCCTATGCCACCACCACCAATGCCAGGACTAGGTATGTATTGGTCAATAATTATCCAAATAACTTTCAGTGGTAGTATTAGCTAACAAAACTCTGATATTCCTCCCAGATGAAGAATCCTACTTTCTGGGAGAAAACGCCATGCAGTCTGCTGACAGTCAACCAACATATCACCTCCATCTTCAGTACTGAACAGTAAGCCAAGCAAGAAAAAAGCATGAAACAGGCACTAAGTACAGTGAGTGGTTTCCTACCTGCTTCCTGCTGATTTCTTGCTTGGCTTATTCATCAACGATGAAAATGGAGGCAACATGTTCCTTAAAAATGTTGGTTGACTTTCAACAGACTACTATTATATCCCAGAATCTGGAACTCTTCATAACCACTGCTGAAAGAACCTCATATCCTAAGCCTTCCAGCTGTTTGCATAGGCAGCTGCACCTGTCCCATACCTGAATATGACTATCAGGGAATCTGTTCAGTCCAGTAATACCTACTGCAATTATTTTATTGCATATGTGTGATTTATAGGCATGTCAGCATCCAAGGTTATTTGACCCTGTACTAGAAATATAACTGAGGAGAAGCAGGAAAGCTTGCAAACACAGACAGATAAAGGGGTAATTTTTGTTAAATATATATGTTGTCAGCCGGTCACGGTAGCCGAGCGGTCTAAGGCATGCACTGTCTTCGCTCGCTCAGAAGCCGGGATCGTGGGTTCGAATCCCACTCAGGGCATGGATGTTTGTGTGCGTTTTTCTGTGATTGTCTACAGGTAGAGGCCTTGAGACGAGCTGATCACCCACCCAAGGAGTCCTACCGAACGTGTAAGATCTAGAAAAACCGAAGTGAACGGAGTTCATGGAGGTAGGCCTAGGCCCACTGGGGCTGTAGTGCCAAGAAAAAAAAAATATATATATATATATATGTTGTCAAACATCTGGCAACTTCAAATGATGATGGTTAAAGATTTTTTTAATTATAGGCATCTTGGTCATTAGTAAAAAATTTCAAAACTTACTCTTTGCTTAATACAATATACCTTTATGCTTGCTTGTATCTGTTTGCACCATAAGACTTTCAACACATATTTAAAAGAAACTGCAAGACATCTCCTGTATTGCTAACTCTATACAAAATATCTTCACTCATCAGCATGAAATACACACTATAACCAAAGAGTCCAACCCACGCACAGGTTGAAAGAACCACCAAATAGCATGCAAATGAGTCAGCTTAAGATACCTGTAATTATGTTGATCAATGTTTCATCTCAATGCAGTAGTCATGATCTGAATGGTGTAGTTTCAGGTGTTATTCAGAGCTGTGACTCACACTGTAAGAAATTTGGCTGTAACCATGGCCCTGCCTACACAGATATACTAGGATGTGACTGAGACAACCACAGAAGGATGTACAAAACTGCCACATCATCATATTTCCATTTGATCCATGAGCAGGTTTACAGATACAGATGTATTTCTAGTCAACTGTTCCGAAGCAAAAGTTTGCTATGAATGCTTAATCCCTCCCATGTAGATCAAAAACGAACTACATGAAACTGTCATGCAATATTATCTGGTGTCCATGAAAACAAAGAAATAAATAAATAATAAATCCTTGTATACATATTGCAAGCATAAATTGTAAGACTGATGGTAAAAAAGTAAAAACATGAACCAGTCTCAGTGAAAAATTAAGCACGAAACAGTTCTATACTGGCCATTACTCCATGAATAGGTATTGCCCATTGACTTTTTTTTTTATATTTTACATATACAACAAACTTCAACTGATTTCAAATTATACTGTAAATGTGATTAAGTATAATCACATGACCTTGATCATAAGTTTAATTAGAATCAGCCAGTTAACTCATAGTTATTACAGGAATGCAAAGGGAAACACATAAACATGACGATATTTTCAAGCCACCAGCTACACAGCATTTCTGTGCAACTGAATTCCCAACATTTCCAATAAGTTGGATTCCCCTGTGTTAAAGAAACAGTTTTGAACATGGATGACTTGGCTCTCTGCCACATCATCACCATCATCATCATCATGCTATCTCTGTGATCCAGAAATACTCTGTCAAACCATTCCATCTCATTCCTTGGCATGCATACCACAGTTAAACACTGGAACAAGGCCAACCCGTTGTACAGAATACAGCTCAAACACTGGTCATTCATGCCAACAATGTGGGGGTGTGAAAAAAATAATCAATAACATCATCGCTTTTAAAGATTCCAGTAAAAAAGAAAACATTCAAACTGGTAAATATGATTAAGATATTGAATAAGTAATTTCATTTGAAAAAAAATGTATAGGAATCCAACGTTCAAGTTATAAGGGAAGGATCAACAATTTGTTACCCAATGCAAAGGAAACATTTACACCTTACTAAACATTACAACTGGAGATGGAATTTCTGAACATAAGTTTCTCAAGGGCTGTGATGCCTGGAGCCAGTTCAGTTTTGTATACACATATTAATGTTACCTACCAACAATAGGCCTCCTCTTTACCAGTATTCTACCAAATTAAAAAAAAAAAAATTCAAATAATCTATATAACATAATAGTTATTACCTTCAATTCACTCCTTTCTATTTGAAACATTCTTTAATTCAACAAATATTTAAGAACTTGACAGATTTGAGGTTCTCACAGCAGTGACTACGAAGAGTACCATCACCTGGGATGTAACACCACGTAGTCCTTTACAAGTGCATCCACATTTCAGGGGAACACTGGTTAATTTTACGTTACATTCTACAAGATGGTACTCTTCCTATAAGAAGTAAAAAAAAAGTAAAGCTATCCTTGTAAGAAGCCATGAAGGCCCATAGGGTTGTGAGATGTTGAGGGTCTCACATTATCTAGACAATCGGCTCAAAGATGGCAGTAAGGTTGTCAGCCTTATGCGCCGGCCGCACTTTACTCCCCAGGAAAATTATTTAATTAATTCCTTGTACTCATTTCTGTTAGAGGCTGAGTGAACCCCAGGGCCATAGTGCGGCTGGAATGATTAGGTCAGTTGAAAAAATCCAATGACCTTATTGGGATTTGAACCTGCGACCTTCCAGCTTGTAGCATAGCCCCTCAACCAACTACGCTACCACATGCCCCCCTTATAAGAAGTTATTTCCAAAAATTATGTTTGGTTTTAAAAGTACAGTGAGACCCATGACTGATCAAGATTATTTAAAACTGTCATGAACTAAAATGTTACTAAAAACTTAAATATAGATTTCATCAAAATCTGTTCATAAAACAAAATTAATTTAATATAGGATCTCAGCCAGCAGGAAGGTGATACCTTAAGTCACCACAGAACGTGAGTGCCAGGTGATTAGAACACAAAACATTTCATTCACTTCTCCATACATACCCCATTGCTCAAAACAATCAAGCATGCTTGTTACAGTGTGAATATTAGATTTTGAAGGGCCAAATTACTAGAAAATTCCTTCTCTTTCAGTAGAAAACAGGCCTTGTTCCTCAAAACTTGCTACTTACTATTTTATGACCATTCAGTCATCTTTGTCTCTGTGTAAGAGTGTTAATAAACTGACAAAATCCAGTATAAAGTGTTTTTCATATAAAAGAAATTAATAGACCAAACAAGTATTAAAGGTGAAAATAGCTGAAAGACTGCAAAGTATGGTTGAAGTTATATTTTGTAGGTTTTTACAGCAGTCGTATTACTAATAAATGTCTTTAACATGTCACCATACAACAAATTTTATAAAAAAATTGCTTTGTTAAAACTTCCATACTTTTAAAGATATCACTATAAACATTTTAAGACCATACTTGGAACTGCTCCAGGGGTGATCCAATGTAAGAAGTCTGCACAGACATCATGTCTGTACTGCAGTTAAAAAGAAAAGTGTACTAAGACGGGATGGTCCCTAGTGCCATGATATTCATACTGGGTGTATTTAATTCTGTTGTCTGTTAATGAATCAGGGGATGTGCAATGTAGACACATGGCTGACTAACAGTATTAAAAATAGGAACCCCCAACAACTGAACTCATTTCCATTACCTCATATAGCATCATAACACTGGACAACATTTCAACCATATATCTGAAAGTTACAAAGAAAACAAAAGGTTGTTATGATTACTCAACAAAACGTTTTTGTAACAGAAAAAAAGCCAATGTCAGAAAGCAAGTTAGAAAAGTTGGAAGCACTGAAGAGCCGACCCAGGAAACGCCCTGACTGGGGTGCCATGATGAAGGAAGTGGAATCAAGTAACCGGAAGCTGAAACATGTCCAGTGCAACGACAGAAGCAGTCCACTCCTACCTAAAGTTAAGGTCAAAGATAGGGTAAGCTTGAAGAAATAAACTATAGTATAAAAAAGAAAGGATAATGTACATTTTTCTGCCTATTACCAGGCATATTTCAAGACTTAGGACTTTGATCTTATTGTACAGAATTCTATAGAACTGTATTTCAATATTGCAGTTCATGTATGAATCAGAGAAACCCACTGTTCACAACCAACTACTCAAGGAGATCCAGTCAGGAATAAAGCTTAAGAAGGTTCAAACAGATGACAGAAGTAAACCACAACTTGATGGTAAGTACTCACCATCAACAAATATTTTCTTCTAGTCAGATCATGGACCTGGCACTACTAAGTTTGAAACGAAGGACTACTATTGATGTTGGTCCCATACCCAAAATTTCTTAATGCTGAAAGGATGAGATCCATCACTAACTGTGATCCCTTGGACACCTACTATATTCTTACTAGAACTATCTTACAAGAGTGTGAATGGCTTCGTGGGAAAAGCAGATTTCCCTTATGCATGGGAGTTAAGACAAATGTACTGACAATTTTTAATGTAAGTTTGTGTGAAACTTAATCTTATGACTTAAAATGAATTGTCTGTGGGTGCAAGAGAGAAGTGACTTGTAATGGTTCCCATCTGTAGTCCTTTCTGCATGGATGTAAAACTTGATGTCTTGCCCTATGGGAAGAACATAGAGGGTGTTGGGTAATCTGGTGCTGAGGACCCCAGTCAGAAGAAATAACAGGAGGATGGAGAACAGGTGCTTTAAATTTCTAACTTTTTTAATACTACCAGGGCGATCAAATCAAGGAGGATGATGAGCTAAGCATGGAAAGTAGCACAAATTGGAGAAATGAACACATAATTTTTATTGGAAAACCTGAAGGTAAGAAACAATATGGAACACCCAACACAGATGGTAGGATGTTTAGGCCTTATAATATTACGATGCGAGGCTGTGTGCTGGAGTCACTTGGTAAAGGCTGGGGCCCAGTGGTAAGCCCTTGCGAAGACGGTACTAAACCTTTAGGTTCCAAAAAAGACAAGAGAATTTCTTGACCAGATGGGAGAAAATTAAGTTATCAAGAAAGACTATGCTCCATGGAATTAATTATTCTCTGTCCAGTCTGCCTGATGAACAATAAAATCAACCAGAATATCATTTGATGTCTAAACTTAGAAAGTGGGCATTTTACAATGTAAGATACAAAAGACACGGTTACAGAATGGAAATTAACTCCCAGTACTGCTTTTTAAGTCAAACAACATGGCCCCTAACCATATTCAAAAGGCCAAAAGAGTAAGACTATAAGACTACCTGGAAAAAGTCAGTGGGGTAGCTCATTGACATTTCATTATACTGATGAGTCAGGTTCATTACCTGTAGGCCTACTGTCTAACTTCACAGAGCAGGTTCTTGAGAAGCCAGTAGTCACTCTGATATATAAGAACCAAAAAGTTAATGTAAGATTTGAGCTTTCCACAGCAGTGACTATGAAGAACGCCATCTTCCGGTACGTAGCACTGTGTACATATTGCGTAAACTGACGTTTTGGAGGAACGGCTGCAGCCACATGCTCACGCTGGTTCCTAGATCATGGATTTTGATACCCTGAAGATGAAGGCGATATGTTCCTCCGAAACGTTGGGTTACACAATATCTACATGGTGCCACATCCCAGAAGACAGCATTCTTCAAAAAGTTCATGTTCACAAGAGTACACCACTGAGGTGGATCCTGGGTGAGATGAATCCAGTCATCGTTCTAACATCTTATTTCTTTAAGACTGATTTTGAAGGTATCCTCCCATCTGTGAGTTCTTCCCTTCAAGTTTTCCGACTAAAATTCTGTAGGCATTTCTCATATCTCCATACAACCAATTTCTTTAAGTTGTTACTAGGATACAATGGATTAATTGTTTAATCTATAAAATGTACTTCTTCAGTATCAAAATGGCAGTAGAAAGAACATAAGCTCTTCATGTAAAAATGCTTAACCCTTCACAACACAAAGTTCATCTAAATTATATTTGTCACGTGTATGAGTGAACACAGATGGAGTTTGTATTGGTAATTGGATTTACTGAACACTTACAGATCATAAATATGGGGTAACTAGAGCGCTATTGCTAATTCACACACTCTGTAATTCACTACAGCACATACGAAGTCTTCTCAGTCTGCTGTAGCTTCACCAGTTTTGCCTGGTAACGGCTTCCAATGCCATAGCTCACTCAGCTTCCATGTTCACACCCTTACCGACTAGTGACTGTATTACAACTAAATTCTAGACTTGTCCTGCTTATAACACCTCACCAAGGACCTCATAGAAAATACCACTCCTCACTGTTGTATTTCAATTGTTTCCATGGGAACATGTTTGTTTGCAAAGCTGTTGCTCAGTAATGGCTCTTGTATATTTGCTTACTCCATGGTCATTGCTTAGCAATGGCTCTATATGCCATAATAAAATGAAATTTTAGTCTTGCCTCACAGGAAAAACACTGTGTCTCCATTATAAAGACAGTCTACTAACACTGTCTCAGGAAATAATCACTGTTTACTCTGAGAATCATATGAAACACTTAAATTCACTGTGTATGCAATACGCAGAATTCCTGAATATTAGAACAGATGGCATATATGTATACAATAACTATTGTGCTTTAAAAGGTGAAGAAAGTTACAGTAAGATTCTGCTGAGGTTTCATACCCAACAAAGAAATGATGACATAAAATATAGAACTAAATAAGGTAATTAGTTTACTGTGCATAAGCACTCAGGGCCAACAATAACACAGTGAATTCTCCTGTAGGTCTTCGCAAGTTCCGTCGCCAGATGACAATCGAGGAGCAAATCCAGAAGGCTGAAGTTGAAGAGACTGAAGTTGAGCCCGATGAGCTGGATGACATTGACAGTGTGCGAGATGACCTTCAGTCTACAAAACAGATGCTGGCACTTGAAATGAGAAACAAGGAGGCCGTGGAACGAGAAAACAAGAAGCTTCTGGTATAATTGTCAAAATATATCCAATTCACATTCAGGAGACCACAGTTTGAACCCATACCACTGAACACCCTTAGGAATATAAATGCTACAGAGTCATAAAATAACATATGACAATGGCTACCCTAACACTCGTAAACAAACCACTGTTCACATATCTCAAAATCATCAAGTTAGCTAAGCAGTTATTAATTCTTGATTTATTTAATTACATATTCTCAAATGCCAATGTTATGTATGTGATAAATGGTAGGATGACTTAGGAAATTATCATGGCCAAAAGAATGTGGGCAGACACAATCACAGCCTGTTTTAAAGTGGTATCCTAGCCTCTGCCCGGACAGACTGAGACAAAGCACAGAAACCTCAGAACAACCAGCCTCCAGGCTGAGAAATGACCCAAGAGCTACTGAATACGAAGCAGAAATGCTTACCAATGAAATCCATCATTCAATATTTAAGTAATAACTAACATAACTGACTGGCAATCAGAAATATCCAGTTCACACCTAACAGGGTCACACAACCACCATGTTGGTCCTGCAAACAGTACAGAATTAATAATGTGTGGTGGCCTCCAATGACAACACCCATAATAGTAGGAAAGCAGCAGAAAGTGGTCGAAACTATGCCTGAACTTACGACACATGTTCCTTCTTCAATACAATAACTACATATCCGTGAACAGAGCAGTCAGTTGCAATCACCTACTCATAATCAATATTTCTGTGTTGATATTACATAGTCTCCATACTGACAGTATCATTAAGGAACTTTAAAAATATATATATACTCATAGAAGCACACTTTAAGAATTCAACCACTGGAAGTTCATGTTATAATTTAAAAAATTATGGGAAATGGTTTAAATGTAAAAAATGTAAAATCACAGAGGAAGCACTCCACAAATACAATTCAAATCTACCTGCCTTGACATTTAAGAAATGAATACAGAAAAAATGGGAATGTAATAGATGAGTACAGTAAAAAAATGTAATGTCCTTGTACTTAACTAATTAAGCACTATGTCATGAAGGCATATGTGTGAATGGATGTATAGATACATATTTTCTTAACCTTGGCACTATCGGGAGGTGAGTAGTTGGCTTCACACCCCAGCTGCTTTACCCCCAGTACCCACTGGATAGAAGGTTGGGTGGACTCCAGGGCCAGTCTGGACATGGAGAAGAGAAAATTCTTAACCCTACTGTGACTTAAACTCTAACCCCTCATTCATCCAGCCCACAGCCAGTTGCTATACCCACTACACTATCCCAGCCCCTCATAAATCAGTACATCACTTATTTGTGGATTTTATGAAAAGCTATGATACAGAACTATAAGGTTTATTTTGGACTCTATCCATCGTCTGGTATATATAAGATAAAAAACCACAACGTTTCAGAGACTGGATCTGTCTCCGTCCTCAGGTGGATGGGGCAAGATAGGCCTACTCAGTTGGGCCTGTTAGAAGGAGCTAGTCTCAATCAGTGATGTCTAGTGACAAGCTTCATATTAGTCACGTTGAACCTTTGGGTTGTGCTATCAGTGTGGTAGTCACTAAGCCACACTCTTAATGAAATCCGCTTATCTACAGCTCTGCAGTACGTTTCATTCATATACTTTTACACTTTCCCCCAGACTCCACTGTTCACTCATAGCAAATGCAAAAGCAATTCCCAGTATCCTGTGTGTGATTTTACTTTTCTTTATTTCTGATTTTCTCATTTTAAAAGGAAAGGAGAATGAAACAAAGGAAGGATGATATATAATATACATGACAAATTTTCCTCTTTGAGTTAATGACCTGAAATCGTATTGTTTGTAGACCAGGATACTGAATCTGGAAGTCGAGCTGGAGAAAGAACGTGCAGCGAAAAGGCAGACTGAAGATGTGTCACCTTGGGCCAGAAAAGAGGAGGATGAACAGGTAAGATAATGGTTAATGGATAATGGATGGATGAATGAAAATTGTTATCAATTACTTAAATGACATCTGCCAATTAAACACAGCCACCACATAGTGCAGTCTGGTGGATCAATGTAGTTGGAGCAAGATAAATGTTAGATGCACTTTTAATTATAAATGATCTTCTCTCATCATGTGATTCTTGATACAGGAGAAACGAAAACTACAGAAAGATCTGGAAGAGGCACAGAGATCAGCAGAGGAAATGGAAACAAAATACCATGACACAGCAGGTCAATTAGACATGATAAAGGCAGACTTGGAAGAAGCTCTTCGTAAAAATCAGGCACTTGAGAGAAAGCTACAGGCCAGTATCCTAAACCAGGTAAAAAGAAGTGCATAAGCCCCAGTAGAAGTTCACAGGCATCACTTCGCAAAGAAAAAATATCACACATCGAATATAATAAGAATATTAATTAAAGTATGTATCTAGATCTGATCTAACTCGATCTCATAACTGTCAAAAAGGCCATGCTCTTTACTTATTCTTTTTAACATTCCACACTTTTATGCATCACTTAAGGGGTCAGATGATAGATTCCAAAACTGTAACGTAGGCAGGAATATGATAAACTTCTATCTAAACCCCAACACTGTATTCATCTGGAAATCATGAAAAAATATACAGATGTCAATTGATACCGACAGTGAAATATGACATTACTGAAATATCTGTTACACTGTTAAGAGGAATGCGCACAATCTTCTTCTTTATATTTCCAGCTCAAAAGAAAACAAAGAAATGAAACATTTAATCTAATTCTATGAGTATACAATCTGAATCTCACATGTGGTCAGTGGTTCTTAAGTGATGCCACCAACTACTTCATTAACAATATAAAAATGTTAGAAGTGATCATACTCATAGTGTTATCAAGTTTCTTTCAAACCCTGGAATGTATTTCCTTTCTGCATGATCTATACAAACTCAGCATTTGCCCTTTTTCACCATTCAATGATTAAAGCTGTTTATACAGGGAGGTTCTTACCTCTGTTAACCAGTTCGGGGCTCTGCGCTTCATGGCAACTGATAAACCACCGTCTGCAAGGCCATATAAATTCTGCTGATGAATCAGTATGCCCAATGACAGATAACATTTAGAATTAAGGAAAGTTATTAACTTTGTGGACGGCTTGACGGCATCATGTTTCACAGCTAGCAGTGCAGTTCATGCAAGGGAATTTATGATTTATCAGCAGTGGGCAGCAGTTTTCAACTCCATTAGCCATCTGTTCTCAGTTACAATTAGTAAACACTGTGTTCTGTCATGGTGCTGTATACTTTAGACAAACATGTATTTCTGTATGACACCTACATTAAACACAGATCTGCTAGAAAGTGTTGCAAAAATTTTGTGATGAAAAAGTTCCCAGCAGAAAAACAATTCACAATTTGGTGAATAAACTTAGAACAATGGGACTGTTAACAGACAAGAAACAAAAACATAAAAGCCAAGTGCTTACTGAGAAGTTAAGATGACATAGGGACCAGACTTAAACATACACCTAGAAAATCACTGAAACGTCTAGATCAAGAGACTGGAGTGTCAAAGTCCAGTGCAAGAATGGCAACACAATTGTTGAAGCTTAGACCCCATGAAACAACAGTAATCTACGCACGCCTTGCAGCTGCACAATCCAGCTAGCAGTGTTCATTTTCGTAGTTGGTTTCTACAGTCTGTTGTAGAAGATGTAATAGATCGGAAACTGACATTCTTTTCTGCTGAAGCCTGGTTTCGCTTGCAGGGATGCATAAATATGCAAATAGTTGCTACTGGAGTTCACAGCATCCACATCTAACCCACGAAGCCCTGCTGCATCCAGTGAAAGTTGGTGTCTGGTGTGCTAAGTGCAAGAAGGGTTGTTGTACCTGTGTTTTTTAAGGAGGCAATTAATTGTGAAAGATATGTGCAGGTCATTCTTATTTCCAGAGTTAATAAAAGAAGGAAGACTCAGCTACTGCCCACACTGCACATGTCTATGCAGGCTTTATCCGATGTCTTCAGGGACGGAAATATCAGCAGTGATGCTTGGCCAGCACATTCACCCGATCTTACTCCTTGTGATATTTTTCTTCTGGGGTTGTTTAAAGCACAAAGTTTACAACAGTAATCCCCAAACAAAAGAACTAAAAGAAAATATTCAGAGGGAAACTGCAATATTCCTGCAGAACAGCTTCAAAGGGTAAATCGGAGCCACTTCTGCTGGTGAGAGGAATGCGTACATCTATAGGAACAGCATTTTCAACATCTGCTGTGATTGGTGAATTTTTACTATTTCATTATGAACGTTATTGGCCAACAAGCATACTGATTAAGTGGCAAAATTAATATGTCCCTCATAGCCAGTAGTGCACCGGTTACCATGAAGTGCACAGCCATGAACCAGTCAACAAAGGTACAAATTTCCCTGTATATTTCAGAAGGCCATAGCAATGTGTCATTTATAAGAGAATGTGGTATCAGAAATATCTTAACTGAGAACTTCAGCTCAAAACATTATTCCATTGTAAGAATCTGTAGGTAACTATTATAACTATACGCAGAATAGCTCGGTCGGTATAGTAACAGGCTATGGGATGGATGGCCAGGGTCTGAGTCCTGGCAGGGGCAAGAGATTTTTCTCTACTTCACAGTGTCCAGACTGGTTCTGGAACCCACCCAGTCTCCTATCGGAATGGTACTGGAGGTAAAGTGGCCAGGGTGTGAAAATGACCAGCCACCTCCATTCTGTGCCGAGATTAAGAATTAAGACCAATATGTCTTCATGGTGTAGTGTTTAATTAAATAAGCACATGGATAACTTTACCTTTTTATGTCATAACATTTAATTTTCATTCCAGTGTTCCTTTCACAATAAAATTATTCAATCCTGATACAGAAATTCATATGCTGACATATCCAAATGAAAAATCATGCTGGCACCCATAAGGAAAACAAAATGCTCCATCAGAATACATGGCCTTAAGAAACAGCATCCAATTCCCTGTTTTGTGCTAAATCAGCACAAATACTAACGAAGTCTGTCATTTTTAAGGACAAAGGCAGCGAACAGCCTCTACGCAAACAGCCATCATCTAAGAAGTTGGCAGCAGCTGCTAGGGAAAGCAATGCTAACATGCAACAGGCCCTAGGACAAGAGCCAAAAGAAGAAGATGAGGAGTCAGAGTACGAAGAAGAAACTGAGACAGAAACAGAGTCCTCTTCTGAGGATGAAGACACTGAGGCACTTCAGGAGAGGAGGGTGGCTCGGGAATTGAAGCTGCTCCTGACAAAGCTTAAATCGTTTAAACAGAAAGAGGAAGTGGCACGAAAGGAGAGGCACTCGCTACGGGATCAACTTAAGAAGCAACAAAAGGTACAAGTAGTTACTAAAGGATTCTGACGATGGTATATAACACACAGAGATATTGGGTTTTCGGACTTTATCCATCGTCCTGGTTTTAAGATAACTAAGAAAAACATGACGTTTCAGAAACTGGATCTGTTGCTGGCCTCAGGTGAGGGAAAACACCTTAGGATGGAAACAGATCCAGTTTCTGAAACGTCATGTTTTTCTTAGTTATCTTAAAACCAGGATGATGGATAAAGTCCGAAAACCCAATATCTCTGAACAAAAGGTACAGCCTTACATTAATCACTGTCTGAACAGTTAGGGAGAAACTTATAACCAAACTTATGCTGAATTATATGTATGCAAAATGAATCATATTAAATTCTACATTTGGTCAGTGTATTTCTTATGTTCATTATGAGCTTCAATGTTATTCTTTGCAAGTCTGAATATTTTTACTTGTGCATATGGTTATTTAAAAACATGTTATGGCCTCTAAAAGCATAGTCTTAATAATAAGGTTCATCATAATATACTTTTTTGTTTCAAAATATACTGCACTGTTATACAGCAAGAAACATGTGAGGGATGGACTGACAGAAGGCCAGACATACACAATCATCCTACATCAAATTTCCAATTACCCCTTATTAATGAGAGTATTTTGCTCTATAAAGTGATTTCCACATAGTTAAAACACATGCAAACTATTCTTTCAGATTCTAAGTGATGAGAAAAAGAAGTACAAAGTTCTTCAAAAAGAGGTTGATAAAATGGCAAATCTGATGAAAGATGATGAAGAGGAAGGAAGTGAGGATGAAGATGAGCCTGAGGAAAGTGAAGATTCTGAGTCTGAAAGTGAAAGTGAGGAATCAGAAGAAGAAGAGAGTGATGGAGACCTACCCCCAGATGCTCCAGCAGAAAATAGAAAGCAAAACCTGACTGAAAGGGCCAAGAGGCATGAAAACTGCCTGGCAGCTCTCCGCAAGGGCAACTACCTTCTGAAAGCAAACATTGACCGAATCAAAGATGACCTCTTCAAGCAGAAAGAGATGTCTTTGAGATTACAAGAAGATCTCAACTCTGTTCTTGCAGAACTTGGTTGAACAAAATAATGTTTTGTCAAAACAACAATATTACCAAGCAAATACAGGATCGATGTATTTGCTGCAGCTTGCAAAGGAGTATACATCAAAGATAAATTTTCTTGCCATAAAATTTCTTCAAATTGGAGATGAAAATTATAATACAGACTGTGGCACAGAAGTCAAACACCTCCAAATGTACTAGGTCAATAATAAAATACTGTTCAACAAAGACTGACACAAATAACAAAAGTATATGTAACAACATGGAAAGAACAGTCTTATTAGGATTTAAGTATACTTTGGATTCAGTGCAAAAAGTGAATGTAAACTCCTGGTTATCGAGTATCCAAGCATGTGGAACTCACATGCAACTGGCTAAAATTTCAAAGAAAATTTACAATTTTTGTAAAGTTCTTTCAAAAACGAAATTGCAAATGCACACATGTCCACCCATCATGCTGTAGCTATCCCAGCCAATATTAACAGTGCAACTCATCATCCTCCTACAGACTGCTACCATTACAGTCATAGTGATCCATAATTAGAGCAGAGGCTAGCTGAATTCATGACCACAACACAGTACATCAGCAGTCTTTCACCCATCAATCTATTACTTCACCTAAGACTCCCATGCAAAAATTAAATTGAAATGTACTGTTCTGACTTTAAATAAAAAAATTGAAATATGTAGAGGAGCAGAAAAGTAACTGAGTTTCAATAAGTTTCTCTCATGCAATGAGTAGCTTCATGTAGTTGGAACATAACATTCCCCATACCTGCCAGATAATGGGGGAGTTTACTATTTATTAGAGAGGTAATGTCCATCTGACTCTGCATATTTCATCTCTCAAACCGCTCATCAGGTTTTGATAAAATGTTATATCACATGTCTGCAGTAAAAGTTTAGTAAATTTCATTTTGGCCACTAAACATTCTATATAGTCTCACTCACTCACTCACGGAGCTGAGCCCTTCTTGAGAAGCAGCCAATTGGGCAGATACTCAAGAGCTTCCCAGCAATTTATGTAACCCGAAGGTTCATTACCGTGTTCACAAGAGCCCTCCACTGGTCCATATCCTAAGCCAGATCAATCCAATCCATACCATCCCACCCTGTCTCTCTAAGATCCATTTTAATATTGTCCACCCGCCTATGCCTTGGTCTTCCCTGTGGTCTCTTCCATCTGGCTTTCCCACCAATATCCTATACGCATTCCTCCTCTCCCCCATTCATGCTACATGCCCTGCCCACCTCATCTTCCTTGACTTGATTATTCTAATTATACTTGAAGAAGAGTACAAGTTATTGAGCTCCTCATTATGCAATTTTTCTCCAACCTCCTGCCACTCCATCACTCTTCGGACCTAATATTCTCCTCAGCACCCTGTTCTCAAACACCCTCAGTCTATGTTCCTCCCTTAATGTCAGAGACCAAGTGGTGACCCACTGTGACCTTAATATGAACCTCTGTATCCCATTAAGGTAGAGAATTTCTTAATCTACTGAGTAACTACAAACTTTTCAGGGAAGATCCTGCACTGTGGAAATAGTTAATTAGTTAACTCAGACATAGCCCAAAGTTATTCTGCCTGGACAGAAATGTTGAAACAGTATATGAGCTAATGCCATACAGAAATGAAACATGATCAACAAAACAAACATAATATAAAATATGACTGAATAGGCTATTGCAGAGGTAACACACTGTGGGAGGTACATCGTTTAAATCCTGGCCAGAATACTGGGTATTCTAACAAAGATTTGTCATGGCTGTTCTAAATCCTAGAATACAAATGAAGATATGAAATTCTGAAATAATGGGTGTATGCCATGACCATTTTCTTCTTCCCTATTCACCTCTCATTTCAGTCAATACTAAGAAACGTCTGTATCCGATGTAACATTACTAAACAACCCACAAAATGAATCAGAATAAAATGTGACCTGATGACTGACTGTTTCATAATACAAAATACAGTGCGTACAATCAAGTGCGTGCCGCGGCTGCAATTTGCCGTGAGTCATACCACCGCAGAACGGATGCAGTCACGGGGAGGAGTTGCAACACTCCCCGCGACTGCATCCGTTCTGCGGTGGTATGACTCACGGCAAATTGCAGCCGCGGCGCGCACTTGATTGTACGCACTGTATTATCCACATATGGCTCAAAAATGTGGCATGGTCAAATCATGATTTTCATCTCCAATTCACTATGCACGAAGACATTTATAAGCAGCTGCAATATTTAATTCTGTTTTACTTCTCCAACTACAAGATACATCGCATGCTGCTTATGAGTGTATTTAATTTATATGCTTGAACAGAAAATTGTACAGATCTTGTCAAAGATGTGATATTTTACACACTTACAGGATCTTTTTATATCCTCCTTAGACTAAAGATAAATATGTATTATTTTTCTACATGAAAATATAAAATGCAATTCCTGATTAAAGAGCAATAGTTAATAGCATGAGGAAGCTTTCTTTTTACAATATTCAGACCAGATTTTGTGCAGTGCCACCCAGCAAAAAGAAAAGTATTATAGAAAGCAATTCTGTATCTACTGCATTGCTGCAAAATACTGGGCAAAGGGTTTGCCTTTTATCATCTTACATTTGCACTGGGGTACAAAAAGTATAGTATTTAATATGAATCAATGTACAATAGAATCAGCATTCAAATGTGATTTTATGAAAATAGTAAACATTGCCTAATGCATATTTGCTTACACATGCAAAAACTAATGTAAATAATTATTTGCTAAAAGTGAAACATCTGGAAATATGCATTCTCTCCCTGATTATGACCCAGAAACATTAAATTCAGTTATCCTAATGCCATGGTATTGTCTTTACCTCCTAACATCACATCAGTCATGTGTTATGGAACAGGTAGTTACCAACATATTTCAGTGTTATTACACTCAAACTACCCACAAGCATCCAATTCAAGCTACAGACATTGGTGCTTTTGATAACTTAAATCAATATGGATTTGGCCATTTAAGTGTGTGTTAAAAGTCTACATAACTAGATATTAATGAGGGACTTACTGTGGCCACATTCAAGTATCCCCATTTAATCCAAAAGGTATTATTCAGTCTGTCCAACATAGATTTTCCATTCCCAAGGAAGCTAATCCCTGGCATTGGATAAGGGTTTATTGCACTCCCTATAGACTGCGTTACTTAAGTGTTGTATATTATTTTTAAACACTGTGGGTTTCAAATGAGTGAAAACATATTTTAGCTAACTAACAAATGTTGCTCTCAAAGTTGTAAAAAAAATCTTTTGTTCCAAATTGAAACTCTCATGTATAAAAATTGCTCATCTGTAAATACTAACAAACTGAAATAATTAATTTCAATATTATGTACACATTTTTGAATTACAAATAAATATACTTTCCATTCCTTCTTATTATAAAAAAACCAGTTCCAGTATCAGCAATTTTTGAATCCATAATTTTGATTTCACTTTCTGGACTAGTGGATAACATAAGATGTAGTGGCAGAGCATACTTGAATAATTAATAAATAATAAAATAACAAACAAATTAAGCATGACCCTACCTAACACATGCTGGCTCCCTTAACACAAAAAGATGTTTCAGACAAAACGTGTACACACATTAACAATCTTCACAGTGATTCGTAAACTACTGTCACACGTTGGGTGTCTAATGTGACAAATAACTTCATGCCATCTTCGATCTTAGCGAATTTATTGCACATTCGGTATTTTATACATTTATATTATTTTTCATTTTAATCAAAAATGCCACAACAAAGTTTGAAAACAAGTAAGAACTCTATTACTACAGAAAGTTTCTGGGTAAAAGTGAATCTGTCCTTGTGCTTATTCTATGCCATGAAGACATATGGGGGAGTTGAGGTATAACTCCACCTTTCCTGACCTAAGCACTAGATGTAGGTGAGTGGTCAGTGTCATGCCTAGAAAGTTCCAGGATTCTAAATAAAACACTGATGTCCCAGTCTAGAAAATATGAATAGTCATCACATTAATATCAATGGAGATACAAGTTTGAACAACATCATATCAAACAGATAGTGTACAGCAGAGTGAAAACTTTATAATGATTTCCAATAAAGCAGGTGAATTTGTTCATGTATACAATGCAGTCTCCTATATGATATTTTCCTCACACAGTACAACTAAAAAATATCTTTGCCACTGTACAAAAAATGGATATATAAAACAGAGGGAAAGAAGACTAGTAATAATTATTTACTGTTTCCAAAATTTTGACATTACCATTTTCACATTATGTGAAACATTCAACACACTTTTCCTAAACCACTCTTTCATATTCAAAATCAGAATAATACAAACATTTGATAGATTCCTTCACATTATATGCTTCTGCAAGCAATGATAAGACTTTCACCTTTCGGTATTATGATTTTGTTTCCACTACTAACATTTCAGGCACACTCATAGGGAGTTGTATGTGAACAGACTAACTACAAGGATGCTAAAGTAACCAGTTACAACGAGAAGTGCAAAGAACACAGTTGCACAGGATATATGAATAAAACAATGTCCAAATGGATTGTGTATTTGGTGATATTCATGGCAGACAGCTCTGAATTATAGGAATTAACTTGGTAATATAATCACAAGCATTGTATTCATTTATATATAGAACCCTTCTCAATATAAATAAAATGTAAAATAATAAATAAATTATGTATTATAGATTTTAGTATCTGGTACAGAAGGACAAACAATATCAGAATATACAATAGTTATCTGTAATTTATTTAATGATATTCTCAGTATCTCACTTGTCAGACTACATAATATTAAATAACTGAATGATAATGAATTGGATATGATGTGGAAGGAAGTGGTCATCGCCAAATTTATCCCAGCATCTGCATGAAGGGATTGATGAAAACCACAATTAAAATCATCAATGTCCCAGCTGAGATTTAAAAAACTCACTTCCTGAATATAAATCATAATTGTTACACTTAAGCCTGCTCACTCAGTGACTCACTCAGTAACATGTTACTATTTCTGATGACAGGTCACTCCACGTCAGGGCACATAAAATGTGTAACAAAGAAGTTAAATTAAGTACTGTGGCATTATGGAATAATTTAATATGAAAGTTGAGAATCTGAGATGAAAGTATGATATGTAAACTGAAACAGACTAAGAACTTAAATAATATAACATATTATGAGAGTAAAGTTATCTCTGTGATTAACTAATTAAACATTACACCATGAAGGTGTATGGGCAGGTGGATGTGTAGATCCATGTTTTCCTCATCTCGGCACTAGTTAGAGGCGAGGGGTCAGCTTCACACCCCGGCCAGTTTACCCCCTGAAAAGAGCCCCCCATACCCATTGGATAGGAGGCTGGGTGGGTCCCACAGCCAGTCTGGACAACATGAAGAGAAAATTCTTGACCCTACACGGACTCGGACTCCAACAATTGGGTGGTCCAACATGTAGCCAGTCGCTATACCAACTATGTTATCCCAGCTCTTATTATTATGAGAGTACCATTAAAAATAGAACA